ACTGAAAATGAAGAATTCGAAATTTTCAAAAAAGTATCAGAGAAGCATGAAAATCGAGGAGGTATTCACTGAAATTTGAAAAATCCGAATTTCAATTCCAGTTAATACCTGCTCGATTCTCATGCTCCCCGCATACTTTTTCAAAAATTTCGAATTTCCAAATTTCAGTGAATACCAATTTCGTAAAGCAGAAAATAACGTTCACCCCGTCGACTGATCCGTCTGACAGCGGGATCGCCCCTGCGGCAGTTGCCGAGTCGGCTTACGGGCAGACACCCCACCATTGGGGGTTTGAATGACTTCAGCGGCGGCGCAGTACTGCACCCCAAGAGCGGGAGGGGGCCGCACGCAGTGGTGGGGTGTCTACCCGTCAGCCGACTCGGTAACTGCCTCAGTAGTAGTTCCGCTGTCAGAGGGAGCAGCGTACGGGGTGAGTGTTATTTTCTGCGTTACGAAATTGATATTCCCTGAAATTTGGAAATTCGAAATTTTTGAAAAAGTATCCGGGGAGCATAAGAATCGAGCAGGTATTAACTGAAATTGAAATTCTGATTTTTCAAATTTCAGTGAATACCTCCTCAATTTTCATACTTCTCTGATACTTTTTTGAAAATTTCGAATTCTTCATTGTCAGTGAATACCTTCACGATCCTCATGTTCCCCTGATACTTTTTCGAAAAAATCGAATTTTACAATTTCAGTGAATACCTCCTCGATTTTCATGCTTCTCTGATACTTTCTTTGAAAATTTCGAGTTTTTCTATTTCAGTGACTACATCCTCAATCCTCATGCTCCCCTGATACTTTTTCGAAATTTTCGAATTTTTCAATTTCAGTGAGTACCTCCTCGATCCTCATGTTCCCCTGATACTTTTTCGAAAAATTCGAATTTTATAACTTCCGCGAATACCTCCACGATTCTCATGCTTCCCTGATACTTTTTCGAAAATTTCGAGTTTTTCTATTTCAGTGACTACATCCTCGATCCTCATGTTCCCCTGATACTTTTTCGAAAAATTCGAATTTTATAACTTCTGTGAATACCTCCACGATTCTCATGCTTC